ACCATGTGTAAGCAAGGAAGGTAAACATATGAAAAGTACCTGAAAGACAATGATGAACAGAAAAGTAACTAAAGATTATAAAGTAACTAGGGCCTATAAGAGCTAGTAGGGCTTTGTTGAAATGTAAATAGGTCGTCTGATTGCCTGGGGGATGCAGACATTCACAAGTTGCAGAAAGTAAGAAGACTCTACCTCATTCAAATTGTAAGGCATACAAGCAAGGAGAATGAATGTATTAGAAAATAACCAGGGCTCAGTAATGCACAATAATCAATACAGCTGTAGTCAGATAAGATAAAATTATGAAAGGTAACTAAGGGGAACTAAAGGCATGAGAAGTAACTAAAACTGATAAAGTAACTAGAGTCTATAAGACTCAAATCTTACATAGCCAAAAGAAAGAAACAGAGAAGCTCACCTCAAAGCTGGTAGGATGGTGGTCTGGGGTGATGTGTTGGCTCGGCTGATGTCAGACCGTGTCCTCAGTTCCACCAGAGTCACAGCTCTCCACCCGATGATGCCATTTACAGTGCCAATTATCCAGACACTACCATTTAACCTGTGGTGGGCGTCATGGGAAAGTCAATCATTACCGTGAGGTGTTGTTTGCTAGAAGCCACCACGGCAGCAGCACTACTCTGTCACAATCCACTGTGCTTCCTGTCTTTTATTTTGGTAAACTTCCCTTGTCCTGGGTCCCTGTTCTCAGCTCCAGCTTTACCTGCCCCAGACAGCTCTCTCACTTGCTTCTCATCAGTGTAATTGAGTGGCTCTGTGTTTAAGCCAGTAGCTCATGTTACCTGGCTTCCAGGTTGTTCCTTGATGAACCAGTATGAGGTGTGCATGTCTTAAGTTTATAATAAAGCTTTGTTTCCCTTCACGGTGCCCCTCTGTTTCTGTCTTCATTTAGGTCCTCCAATTGACTAATCTTGACACTGATCACTGGCATCACTTCTACAAATGTTTAAACTGTACTGGCAGGATGCCACAAAGGGGTTTTAATTGCATGGTGGCACCAAATAAATCATTCAGTGGAGCTGTTGACATTTTGAAGGAAAAGATTGGGATTTTCTCACCCTTCAGTCAAATTTTGAACACTTTGTTTTCTTTTGCCCCTGGTGACACAGTGGGTGGATCGATTTTTTCAAATACTTTATATATATATTGTAGTTTCGTTGTGCACTCACCACAACTGAAACGGAGCGTTGCTGGGGACCAGTCGAGTCGAGATTCCCTCTGCTTGACACCACACTCCACTGCTTTCCATGCTGACAGTATTCACCACTACACTCTCATTCCCACAATCACCACTGAGACACTCCCACCTTAAATCTCTGCAAACGTCCAAGTTCAGCTTATAGCGAGTCACCACCTGTAGTGTTACAGTAAAGACGTGTTATGGCATCAAACAAAATTCATAACACAAAAAGACAGTTTTTGGGGGGGCTTTTCCCGTTTAGGGGTCGCCACAGCGAATCGTCACACTGACGACTTGCATGTTGACATTTGGCTCGTGTTTTACACCAGAGGCCCTTCCTGTCAAAACCCTGATTCAAACCCGGGGTGCAGCTGTGAAAGCGCTGCGCCTTAACCACTAGCCTACCAGGGACGACTCTTCAACCTGTAGCTATACAGGTCTTTAAAAAATTGTCTTGTTTTGGTAAAATAACCAAATAATCATCCCATGATCCAGGTTCCATATAGAGACCACATGAACCTCAAGGAAAGGATAATTTCCTTTATTTTATGAATGATTTTGTTTTATTTATTATACAGTATGTTTCAAGAACATCCCCTTAAATGCTTTCTTCTTCTTCTATGGACTTATAGTAAGAGCAATTCCTCCAAAAATAATTACAGAAATACTGTCATCACATTTTAATTTATGTTATGCAATCTTAAATGGCTTGACTTACTGACAGAATGTATGTGTTTATTTAGATAATTTCCTAGATACAGCATTTAATACACTTTGTAGCCTTTAAAAAGTAATTACAGAAATACTGTCATCACATTTTAATTTCTGCTATTTAAACTTTTTGACAGAATTCTGTCAAAAATGATTTTACTTGACTGCTAAATTCCAAAAGATAAACATGTTGAATAAGAAAACTATTGTACGTACCGTGACAGATTCATTTCCAGTAGTGTTTTTGGGGTAGTAGGTCATCACTGCGCCCCAGAAGTGATGCCCCTGGAAGCTGTAGACCAGCAACAGCATCTGCAGCAGCCGCAACATGCTGAATATAAAAATAATGCCAATACTAATGCATATGCTTCAAGCGACTGTTTCACTCTCCCTCCTTTTTCATCTTGTGTGGAAAATTAGGTTTAAACAAACCAGGAAATGTTCTCTTTACTTAAGAAGTGTCTGGTTACAAGATAACAATCAGCGATGAGTAGTGTGAAGGGAAGTATACTGAATGAACTCGTTTTAACTTTCTGCCAGTAGTGCAGGAATTCTTCAAACACTGTCTTTTTCTATAGCTTGACTGGAACCATGAAGTATTTTTATTCTGATTTAGTTCAAGATCTGCTGATGTTGTGAAAACATGGATTCCCATATTGTATTACTACAGTCTCCATAGTACTACATTGATGTTACTGTAACCATAGGTACCATATCACATGTATAAAGAAAGATGTGACTGTTTGAGAACAAAAGACATCCAGTTAAATCAGTCAGCTGCAAAGGACCAACTCCCCCTGGTCTTTTTTTATTTACTTATAAATTTAACCTTTATTTTACCAGGAGAACCTCAGTTCAGCTCAGTAATTTAAAATGACATCCAACTAATATGAAATGTAGAAAACAAAGTACAACCACAGAATATCCTACCTATTTATCACATTACATCACTCAAGCCTGATTCTCCAGACGGTCTTAGGGGCCCCAAATGTTGTTATTTTTTCCAAAGGCAAAGCTGTAGGTAAATGTTTAATCTTATTTAACTTGGATGGGTTTTTATTTATGACAGTGAAATGAACCTTTTGGCAAGTAAGTGATGTCGTGATGGCTACTTTTGAAATGTAATAGGTTACAGATTACTATGTTTAAAATGTAATAAGCAGTGTAACTAAAACATAACAAATTTAAAACAGGCAGTGCACACCTCACAACAGTAATAGACACTTATTACTGTCAAACCTTTATTAAAGGTTCTTCAGCATAACTTTAGTTGTGTCTATTACTAAACATGTAACCTAGTGAACAGGCACCAAGCAAAACACTTTTCTGATTTCAAAAGGAAAATTCCATTGAATTTCCAGCACTGAATTTTTTTTTTTTTTTTTTTTTTTGTCACCTACCATGGTGTTGTCAGCTGTTCACAGGCAGACTCAGGTTGCTTTGAGCAGCGGGAGTGGGGGTTTGATTGACAGATGGTGGTGCAAAGAGAAACAATCCAAAGCAACATTCAAAATTCAATGTGTGCTCTAAGTGTTGATTTTGAGAAGATGAAATGAAAGTTCTCAGCTGTAGAAATCTCACTCCATTAATGTGGTCTGATGATTTAGGTTTTTCTCTCAAACTAAAACCAGTGAGTATCTTTTTATGACCTTCTGAATAATTTTCTATACAACAAAAAAAAAAACCCCAGCCTTTTTCAATAACCTCGCAAAACCACAACACTGATGCTGATAGAGATAACAAATAGTTTGATAGGAAAATTAAATTCCTGAAACTGGATGACTGTTGTAAAAGAACAATCACTTGTCACTACTTGATTCTTTTTTAAATCAATCAAGGGAATGTTAACATACAGATTTGGGGTGTTTCAAAACTACATTCCTTCCCTCTCCCAAAAATGTCACCAGAAATAAAAAATGCGTTATTCTCCTCCTTTTCCACCAACCCCTAATAATTTGTGTATAGTCACTAATCTGAATAAATGCAGAGTCAAAATGTGTTACCAAAATCAACTATAATCAGTGTACAGTCAGTATTATATTCCTCATATGACTGTGTAATATATAGAGTCTAAGACTGTTTGAATAATAATAACTTATCCAGTTAATGGATTCACTCCTACAGTCTTAAAATGTGTTGTCACTTGCCATTTTACACAGCATTTGTATGGTGAAATAATGCAGTATAATCTGATCAGTCCTCTTAGGAATTTGTTTCCTAACAATGAACAATGAACCATTTGGTATCTGACTAAAAGTCTCAGCACCTGGGTAGGCCCTTGTGTGAAAATCATCGCATTAGAGGATGACCCAGTTCTTAGTGGGTGTTCAAAAAGCAAATTACATTGCTTTTGAAAAAAATGCAAGTGTTGTTGTGAAACAAAGGATATATGATTGAAAAGTATTCAAACAATCCAGTTCAAGTGTGGCAGTATAAAAGTATTCAAACAATCCAGTTCAAGTAACATGTTCACTGTGTGGCAGTAACTAATTCAGGAAAGTTATCAAAACAGGGATTACCTTATTTTTCATCTCAGTTACCATAAGATAAGAGATGAATGAGGAACCTGCATTTTTGCTGCATTACTGTTGTGTGTCTGAACATGGTTTTAGAAATGATGTGATAAAAAAAAGAAAAACCATTGTTAGACTCTACTTCCCTGTTTGCCATTTACACTGTGGGAATTCTCTGTCATATACTAGAAGAATGTAATGTATGCCAGGCAGTCAAATGTCTAGTCTGTAAATCTGGCAGATTTAATCAAATCCACAATTTGCAAACCTATGCATGTTCTTTCACATCTAAATACAAATCACAGTTTGTAAAAAAATTGAATTAAAAAATTGGGATTTTAAAGCCAAACTTGGTGCTTTAGGTTAAGTGTGTGTGAGGTGTCGCTGTTTTTTAGCAGTAGTTCTCCCTTCTGGTTCATAACAGCAGAATAGTGATTCACTGTAGATTCTTGATTGAAACGGTAGTAAAGAAACAGTAAAGGACGATTTGAATTAGTATTTAAACGTGGCCCTGACTGGCAAACCTACCAATCAAACAGCGTCTTTGAAACCATCGACCTATTGAGCTCGAGCCAATGGCTTGAGCGTGACTCAGGCTACGGTCATGTGACAGATGTTTTTGTTGTATCGCTTCCGCCTAGAGGGTTTCTGCTACTGTCATGTGGATTCCGAACTGACAGGTTAAGGGGTTCAAATCTCTTTGTCGACTCTTCCAGAAATATCTTTTAGGGGTTTTAGCACACCCCAACTCTGGAAAAACTATTCTTGGGAGCTGTTTGAAAGGCCGGGTCCGGTGATGGCGGACGGTGAACGGTCACCGCTGCTGTCTGAACAGCAAGACGGGACCAACGGCTTCTCTCCCGTGGGCAGCTCACATGGATATACGTCCAAACCACAGAGTATGTCTGCTGTTTGGTTTGTCTCCCTAGCCATAGCGATGCAGACATGTATAGGTTTTTGAAGAGTAATGTAACTGAGACCACTTCAGTTTGCAAATAAATGTTTCTAGCGTTAGCTACTTTTACACCGGAAGCTAGGTAGCTAGCAGTTTGGCTAACGTTAGCTTTAAATAAAATAAGTTTAAAGACAGTTAGAAGATATTTCACCCATGATAAATGCCTTTACCAGCATATTACGTTTCTTTACCAAATATTTTGATAGCAATCTCAAATCTACATATCATAGAAAGGGATGTAAAATCGGTGTTAGCAACAACGTATCAACATAAGGGTCAAAGTCCATACAGGCTTTCTATTTGCAGTGACAGTTTGAAACATGCTTAGGCATATATTATTTTGATTATCGATTCATATACCAGTTACTGTCTTGATTAATCCCAGTCTATAAAATGTCAACAAATGGTTTAAAAGGGCACTTTTTCAGACTCCAAAATTACAGCCCTTAAATCCTTGGTTTATATTATATATGGTTAAAGATATTCAATTTTTATCACAAGACAAGAAAAGTAGCAATTCAATATCACATATTAGTAACTGAAGCCAGAAAATGGCTGGCATTTTTGCATGAAAAATGACTGAAATGATTGATTATTAAAGCTGTTGTAGGTTTCTTTTATTCCTTCACAAATTGATTACATTTTCAATTGTTGGGGCTCTAATTATTTGTTATTTCTGAAACTGATAGTGGATGAATGAATTTATGAATCACAAAAAATAACTGGCAACTGCTTTCATGAGCAAAGAACTGTTCTGCTTATTTTAAGGGGAAAGCTGGCTGTATTCTCTGATAGTCTTCTCAAATTAAAAGATGGTTTACCGAATGCAGATGAAAACTTTGTGGAATATTTGAGTTGTACAAAAAAGTAAACGGTGTTTATCAACTGTTTTGATGATTCATTTTTGTCTTTTTGCAAACAAAAAAGTCCTTAAAGCTCAAATATTTTTGTTTCAAGGTTTTCAAATGATAAAACTTGCTGCCTATTATGTCACTGTGATCAGTATATTTGGGTTTGGTGAATTTGTCAAACAAAACAGGACATTTGAAGATGTCACCTTGGACCTTGGCAGTCCACCTGAATTAATAAAATTGTCATCTTAGCTTGTTAACTTGTTAGCATAACATCTGCAAAATGGCACACAAAGTGCAGCCGAGGCTGATGGCATAAGCCAGAGTTTTGGACAAATCAAAATTTAGACTTGATGGTGCTGAATTGAAATCAACAGATTATCAGAGTTATTACAACCAAATGGTGACACGAATATCTGCACCAAATGTAATGGCAGTCCACCCAATAGTTGTCAAAATATTTCACTCAACATCAGAAAAGTCAACAGGAAAGGTCAGGGAGTTCCAAAAGTCATTCATATTTTTCCCAGTAACTAAATAATTTCCTTTCGGTTGTTCCTTTCTTGAGGTTTAGCGCCATTCCCCAGCTCAGCAGCACCAGTTGATCCTCCACCCCCGTACTCACCTCAGGGTAGCCCGGACAGCAGCACCGCTCCGGTCATTAGCTGCCGGGTCTGTCAGAGTGCCATATCTGTGGAGGGCAAGATGCACCAGCATGTGGTGAAGTGCAACATCTGCAATGAAGCTACAGTGAGTTACACAGATTCAGACTTTCAGTGGACGAGTCCTCTTCAGTGCTGTGTTACAACTAGAGATGCACTGATTGCAATTTCTTGGCCAGGTCTGATTTCTGTTTTTTTTTTTTAAGTCTGATCTGCTGATTCTGATTTTCTTTCTTATTAGAGTTGCTACGTGCTGCAAACATTATGCTTTCGGTCTGTGCCACTGCAGCATGACATGGACTGTCATGACTCTAAATCTTATCAGCACAGAATCGGAAATCTCAGAGTGATTAGCTGGTCGCGCTGAAAACCGGCCATTTCTGATCTCCACCAATCAACTGGTGCATCTCTAGTTTCAACTATTTCTGTTTGCAGATCTCTGACAGGGTCTCACAGGCATAAGACATTGGAAGCTGACTCTAGTGAAACATTGCTTTCGGTTTGTGCCACTGCAGCATGACATGGACTGTCATGACTCTAAATCTTATCAGCACAGAATCGGAAATCTCAGAGTGATTAGCTGGTCGCGCTGAAAACCGGCCATTTCTGATCTCCACCAATCAACTGGTGCATCTCTAGTTTCAACTATTTCTGTTTGCAGATCTCTGACAGGGTCTCACAGGCATAAGACATTGGAAGCTGACTCTAGTGAAACATTTTGTCCATGTTCACCTTTAAAAAAAAATGTATCTGTGTGCCTGCTGTCTGCGTTTAGTGCATGGAAGCACTTTTTTTTCAACAACTGCTGTAGATGGGAAGTTGATTATTACTATTATATTGTTTGCCTTTTCTTACCTTTATCCCTTTACTACAAAGTTTGAGTAGTGCAATTTAGTTGTCTTGTTACTTTTTGCTGCTACAGCAGTTCAGGTTTCGCATCACATAGAACAATAAAAAGATTAAAGGTGTGTTACTATTTTACAGTATTAGAAACATTTTCATGTGCTTCAGATTGTCTAAAACACATGCATTCAGAAACCATAAAAATATCACTGTACAACAGTGATATTTTTATGGTGTCACATTTCACTAACCACAAATTAGCAGTGCCTCATATTTCCTGTCTTCCCATGTCTTGTCTGAGAAGAGGTTTCTGCTGATTTTATGAAAACTGAACCTCTGAAAGCTATTTCAGAATCCTAGTATGTAGAAAGTGCGAACAATGAAACTTCATCTCTCTCGCTGTAGCCAATAAAGAATGCTCCAGTTGGAAAGAAGTACGTCCGCTGTCCTTGTAACTGTCTGCTGATCTGCAAGGTCACCTCGCAGAGGATCGCTTGTCCAAGACCATACTGGTGAGAAACGGAGCGGGAATAATTTCCACCTGTCTCAGCTCTGGGTTGTAAGCATGCCACCTGTGCAGAATAAGCCAGCGGTCATTCATCAAAATGCAGTCATGGATAAGATCGTTTTAAGGAGCTGGCTTTGTTTTGAAATCATTCTACTGTGCAGCTGTCTTAAGGAGTTCTTTAAATATCCAATACCAGCACAAAGGAAAATCACCATGTAAATAAACTGGATGGTCAAAAAAGTCCCTGCTTTCCTAAGCTTATCCTGAACCTGGAACATTTGTTGGGGAATTGGGCACAGATGTTTTTGTGCTCTATATTTACACAACATTCACATAATGTTCCACAAGCTTTATAGTCATTTTAAAACACCTTTTCTATGATTTTGTTGCCAGTAAACGTGTCATCAACCTGGGTCCAGTGCACATTGGCAGAGACAGTCCTGAACAGCAGCATCAGCCTGTTGGCATCAGAGTTATCTGTGGACACTGCTCCAATACATTCCTGGTAACAGATGCATACATACATGGACTCGCAGATGATGTGCTCTGAAACTAACAATGCAGATTTCACTTCTTTTTTTATTTCGAGTCACTTAGGCATCTAATGTTGCTGTGTAACAGAATTGTTTACTGATGTACCTTTGTGCGAATCAGTAGCTTCAGCACTGACCTTTAATTTACTGTCTGCCTTAAGTGGACAGAGTTTTCAGACCGGACCCTGGCCCGATGTCCTCACTGCAAAAAAGTGTAAGTGTCTCAGCAGTTTTCTTTATTTGTGTGTGTGTGAGGCAACAAAAGGTAAACACCTTTCACTTGCTCTTGTAGCAAAACAACCCCTCAGGGAGTTTTGTTTCAACCATTATTAATTTTTCTGGTTTTGATTTCCAGCTCTTCTATCGGTCGGCGGTACCCCAGGAGGAGGAGCCTGATTTGTTTGCTGTTGTTCATAGTTCTGGCTGCCTCCACTGCAGGACTGATGGTGTGTATATGTGTATATGTGTGTGTGTGTGTGTGTGTGAACTGGCATTACTAATACCGTGGGGATATATATCTGTATATGCACTGACACTGGGGGATTCACCTTTTCTTTTGGGAACAAAAAGCAAGTCTCTACATGTAAATCATTAGTGATGACTTTGTTTAAGATTAGTTTGAGTCTCCAGAAAATAATGGAAGTCAATGTAATGTCCCCTGAAGTGATGTGTTTGTAGACACATACTAATGATAGGTTGAAAATTATTTAGCAGAACTCACTCAAATGTTGGTCTAACAGATTGTGCTTTTGCCTTGAAAAGTTTCTATATTTTTCAGCCAAGATACTGTCAACAGTTAGAAGACACTAATGTTGAGAACGGATACCAAAATAATTCATTTGTATAGACTCAGAATCAAATTTTTATTTTGTAAGAGTAAATTACCAATTTGTGGTGCAAGGTAGCTAGTAGTTGGAAACATTTATTAATTCAGCGTTTATTAACACCCAGATGTTTCACATACCAAAAACAAACAAGCAAACAACAGAGAAGAGGAACCAAAAAATGTCTGGTTTTTGTAGAGCTTTAAAGGATGTGCTTCAAACACCCACGCCCACAGTTTCATATCTAAACCAACAAGCATCAGATGACAATTAGGCCCACTGGTGTGTGTTGCACTAATTCATAAGTGACAACATGAAACCTTTTACCACCTTAACATCGAAACTCTTTTAAAGTTTGGCAGTTTCGGGTCACTGGTATGTTTCATACCAAATCTGCTCCAAAAATGATAAGCGATGGCTGATGGGTGGACACACTGTATGAATATATGGTTGGTCACATGAACTAAACTATATAGAGCAGTGTCTACTTGGGACATGGCCTTGTTGTGAATGTAAGATATGACGTGTTTCGCCAAAGAGTGTTTTTTTTTTTCTTCCTTAAAAAATTTGAAAAATGACTAATGTTTTGACCCACCGGTCTTCTTTAAGGCTATTAAGATAAATTCCTTGTGGCATGCAAACGTATATACTGTATGCTCACATCTCACACCTGAGAACAATTAATAATCAGCCCTCTTTGGCAGTGGAACTTTTGGGTGGTTGTGGCTCAGGAGTTAGAGCGGTTGTCCCCCACCTGGAAGGTCTCGTTGTTCAATTCCCGTTCTCCCCAGTCCACATGTTGAAGTGTCCTTGGGCAACACACTGAACCCCACGTTGTTCCCAGTGGCCAGAGCAGCAACTTGCTGGGAGAGTGCCGCCATCAGTGTATGTGTGTGTGTGTGTGTGTGTGTGTGACTTGGCGAATACCAGCATCACTCATCCTGTAATATAATCTTAAAAGGACTATTGCTTAAAAATAATGTATGAATGAATATAGTCACAGCCCAGCTCAAAAATGGGTGACACATACACCAGGATAGTGCCAAACTGAATGTATTTGTATTAAACACAAAGAGAACACCGCATACAACCACGAGCAGACAAACCAATAACTAGGCAGGCAGGGGACCATCACAATATCCAAATGTCTACACAAAAATATCACAATTAATAAATACTACTGGGACCAGTGGAAAAACCATTAATATAAACATCAGTACATAAAAACATACCGTAGTTTCAGTTTGTCATGACCAGCACCTGTCTTTTAGGCATACTCACTAGATTAATTCCGTTATATGTTCTTTGCTTCCTTTGCATATTGTTTCATTTGAATGATTTGTGATTTAGACTTTTTTGATAAAAGTATTCAGTGTTTCACAAGAAAATAAAAAGAATTTTGTGTAACTCATTTCTTAAATTTTCTTAGATTATCTCCAGGTGCGAGTGCCACCGCTTTAAAATCACTCTGCATGCATGTCTGTGTTCAGGTTGGAACATGGAAAGCGGCCCAACACTCTAAAGGGATCTACGTGTCGTGGGTGCTGCTGATCCTGCTCGCTCTATTCACCATGGCAAGAACCTTCTACTGGAGGTGTCTGAAAATCAGCGATCCCATATCCAACATCACGTAGAGAGAGAGTGAGAGGAAAGAGAGGGAAAGGATAAAGGAAGGAAAGCTAGAGAGCTAGTGGATGATGTAGAAAACAAAAGTTCAAATTAACTGCTAATATAGTGGTGACAAGCAGACGCCAGAGGTAACCACAAAAACAATGAGCCCTGTTGCTATGATAATGGAGGAAAAACAAAAGAAGGAACAGTGGGCACTAGGGGGAAGGTTGGAGACCAAAAGATGGATTTAGCATATTAAAAATACTCCCCATTCACTGGGTTTCGCACAAACATGGCACCATAAATGTACTGCCTGTTGTCCAAAAGATGTGATTATAAGCACAATATATACAGACTTCTGTTTACCATCACAAATTCTAGGTGGCTATTTTATATTTGCAGAGGTTGGGTAGACAAATCAAGAAAAATAGAGTACTTTGAGGTAAAAAAAAAAAAAAAAAGAAAGATGACTAGGTTGGACAAGAGAACAGAAAACTATTTAATATGTATTTTCAATGTTTTATTTGTTTAATAGCCTGATGCTGCTATTTTTAATTAGCTGTTATTTTCCCTTAAATACCATTTATATAGGTACATTTTGTCTTTTTTTCTGAAATTGAGTCCAGCTTTTTAAAATGATCAGAACTACATTAACCCAATGATGTTTCTGTTTTTAATGTTATTTTCCAACTTTGGGGAAAAAAATCAGGATTTTGAGAAGTTTTTGTTGAGAGTTAGATGATTGATTGATTAGATTGATACGCCTGTGTGGTTAATATGAAGTTACAGCCAGTTGCTGGTTAACATAGCTTAAAAAAAAGCCTAGAAACAGCTAACTATTACAGATATACACATATCCTATTTGTTCTTTTCATACACTGGAGTATAAAAATGGCAAGTTGTGCTTTTATGCAGAATTCTGTACAGGATTATTTGTTTGCAGATTTTAATTTCAGACATAGCCACCCTAGCTGTTTCTAGTCTTTTTGCTAAGATACAGTGGTGTGAAAAAGTATTTGCCCCCTTACTGATTTCTTATCTTTTTGCATGTTTGTCACACTGTAATGTTTCAGATCATCAAACAAATTTAAATATTAGTCAAAGATAACACAAGTAAACACATCATGCAGTTTTTAAATGAAGGTTTTTATTATTAAGGGAAAACAAAATCCAAAACTATATAGCCCTGTGTGAACAAGTGTTTGCCCCCTAAACCCAGTAACTGGTTGGGCCACCCTTAGCAGCAACAACTGCAATCAAGCGTTTTCGATAACTTGCCATGAGTCTTCCACAGCGCTGTGGAAGACTCATGGCAAGTTATCGAAAACGCTTGATTGCAGTTGTTGCTGCTAAGGGTGGCCCAACCAGTTACTGGGTTTAGGGGGCAAACACTTGTTCACACAGGGCTATATAGTTTTGGATTTTGTTTTCCCTTAATAATAAAAACCTTCATTTAAAAACTGCATGATGTGTTTACTTGTGTTATCTTTGACTAATATTTAAATTTGTTTGATGATCTGAAACATTACAGTGTGACAAACATGCAAAAAGATAAGAAATCAGTAAGGGGGCAAATACTTTTTCACACCACTGTATCTGTTTTCTGACTGTAGCCTCATTAGCATACATGACAGGCATGAGAATAGTACTGATTTTATTATCTATCTCTGCCAAGAAAGGGAGAATGTGTAATTTCTCAAAATGTTAATCCATTCTGTCAACAGATAATGTGTCCTGCATATAGTGAAGTTAAATTCAAATTTAAGCTCACATATAGTGGTGGATCACTTTTATTTGTTTCTGGACTAATCAATCAGTCTTTAAATCTTGGATTGATCAGATTGGGAGTTCATTTAATACAGAGACAAAATATTAGAACAGGGAACAGAGCAGAAATAAAAGACAAAAGCAGTGGTCTTTTATTTCCTGCAGCACATCAATAAATCTACCTTACATTCAACAGCTAAACTTTGCACCCACCAAAAAAGTCTAAAAACATCTTAATAACACGATGTCAGGGTGCACATAGCATTTAAAATGCAACGTGTGCATGCAACCATGTATATTTTTGTTGTGTAGCCTCGCTCATTAAAATAAGATTACTCACATGCAAATGATTAGTAGGTAACTCGCACATAAGAACACCTTCCTTCGGTCTGAGGAGAGTTTGTGTGTGATCATATGCACTAATTGGACAAGCTGGTATGAGGAACATGCCTGTATAAAGTATAAAGACAATAGAATAAGGCAAGAAACTGGTGGAAGGTGGTTAAGAATAATTAACATACATAATACAGTTAGGTAAAAAAAAAATCAATAATGTCTTAACTGAGACTATGGAGCATTATCTCATCTTGCTTTTAATTTTTAAGACAGTCTTGTAGCATATCAGCATCATCTCACAGGTATTTTGCGCCATTTGATTTAGTTTTTTTTTCTTTTCTTTTTTGAAAATGATTCATGTTAAAGTGCTGATAAAATTATGTCAGAATTTACTGAAAATAATCAAAAGTACATGCATCATATTCCACTGATCACTGTATTTTTTTTTTTTACCTAAAATCTCTGAAGCTTTTTCTTGTTCAAGTCACTGATATAAATCACTTGACGCACGCACATGGAATGATTTATTTATTTATGCTGTTTCTTTTTAATTCAGATGCATCTTGTTTGATTCAAACTAAATACAGTCGACACTAAGACTTGCTGGTGTCTTGTTCTCTTTGAAAGTGTAAATATAGTTAGTGGATGTTAATTATTTTGACTGAACAGAATTATCAGAGCTGCCGCTTCCCCCATGTGGCTGATTAATTTAAGTACCTGTTGACTGTAAAACATGTTGCACTACGTTGTACTAATGTACTACTACTGAATGTTTCTGTCAATGTTATTTTGGTGGAAGGATTTCTTTTGGGTGGGAAGGGTAACCTGGAACAATGTACGTCTTTTAACAAGGTACTCTGGCTCGTGTCTTATTTTTAACTAAACCTGTGACAAGTTTCATTGAATCTTTTTATTTTTTTTACCTGTTTTACAGAACATTTAGTATTTATGATAGACAATTACACAGAAAATGTATCATGTGAATAGCCTGATTATTAACAGCAGTTATGATGGTCTCATTTGCAACATAAGCACTGAATGATAAAACACTAGCCAGTGAACTCTTAAAAATGGTGCAAGCTTTGTCAGTTGTGTTTAAAATGCCCATTACATGCTCATTTTGCTAGTTTCCAGCCATTTAAAGAGCCTGTGACATGCTTTCCCTAGTTTCCTGACTTATCTACAATGTTACAACAGTGAATTCTCATCTTAGACGTGACCTAAAGCTCAAAAAATGAGGTGTATGTATGTTCTAGTATTTCTATGCAGAAGCAACTGGGTTTATACACATCTCGTAAAACTCTCGCTCGTGAGACTTTTTCTCTTATCAAAATTCTGCTTTTACAATACGTAACAAGCAAGGCATTATAACATTTTGCCAATATGGTGTGGACACTGGTGGATTTCAGGCAAGCTCACATGAACGCGCAATGGCCTGGATTTTTATGCCATTTCAAGGAAATCCTTAAACTATCACTTTATTTTATTAGAAAAAAGTATTAATTGTTAATTTAGTTGGTAATTTTCTGCAATGGTAGGAGGATTTGTTACCTCGGGGATTTTTTCTTCTGAAATCATGGCTGGATTTAGGAGTGTGTATGGACAACAGTAATTTGGAGAGTTTCTGAAACCTCGTCATAGGATGGAGATGAGTTCCTGATCATAGCCAGAACCCAAAACTAAAAATATCAAGGGGTTAAGGCAGAGATCCTCCAAAAGACACTAACTGAGGGCTTGAAAATGATTAATACTAAGGTTAAGTTACACATATTAGTGAGTGATGCCATCCGAGAAGTAAACATGAAGCAAATGTTAAGGGAACAGGAGGAAGAGTCAGAGGAGTCTGAAAGTGAGGAAGAGGAAGAAGCTTTTATTACAGGTGTAACAAATGGTCCTCCTAGCAACAGGGAAGGATAGAGTGCAACACTAACACCCTATTACGCCCTCCATATGTCATAGGTCCCCCTGACCTCATCAATATGATTTTCAATTAGTTGCTAAATGTGAAAGCAACTTGTAAACCACTTATGTTTTTATGTACTTAGCAATGAGAGCCACAGGAGGTCAGCACTGAGTCGGTTCTGAGAAGACACCAACAGCATGCAAAACTTTGTGCAGTGCAATTTATCACACGACCAACTGTCCTTACTGAAATTTATGAGCTGAACACCCTCCCAGTCTTAGCTGTACTTTGAGATTAAAGCCTAGTTAGCTAACTGCTAATCATCTGATTGAGGGATGACAAGTTGAATATTTGGTCCTGTGGTGTAGCCGCAACAACCTGGAGCTGAACACACTCAAAACAGTGGAGATGACAGTGGACTTCAGAATCCCCCCCACCTTACCCCCACTTACCATACTTGGCAGCACTGTATCAGCAGTTTAGTCCTACAAGTTCCTGGGCTCCATTATCTCCCAGGACCTGAAGTGGATGTCCAACATCAGCACCATCATCAAGAAGGCACAGCAGAGGATGTACTTCCTGCACCAGCTCAGGAAGTTCGACCTGCCCCGGGAGCTGCTGATACAGTTCTACAGAGGAATCATTGAGTCTGTTCTCTTCACCTCCATCACTGTCTGGTTTGGCTCAGCAACCAAACAGGACAAGTACAGACTTCAGCGGACAGTCAGGACTGCAGAAAAGGTCATTGGTGTGAGCCTGCCCTCCATGGAGGACCCGTACACTGCACGGGTCAAAAGGAGGGTGGAGAGGATAACTGCAGACCCCTCACACCCTGGACACAACCTGTTTGAACTCCTCCCCTCCGGACGGCGTTACAGGTCACTGTGCACCAAGACAACCAGGCACAGGGACAGTTTCTTCCCCCAGGCTGTCACTCTGAAGAACACTTAACCAACGACAGTATGACTGGACAATAACCCTCAGTGCAATACCTGTGTATATATACATTGTACAGATTATACAGATCTGTACATGTCTCTATTTTTAAGTACTCTATCTTTATTCCTATTTACCTCATTTCAACGAACATTCCTTGGTGTCTGCATTGTTTACTGTCTGTTTATACTGCTTATTCTGCATTGTTTGCACTGTTTGTTGCTGTCAGTATTGCTGTTAATACTGCTTATTTTGTTATATTACACAGCCTTATGCTGGTTTACTGTTTGCACATTGAGAGCCGATGTACCTGAGTCAAATTCCTTGTGTGTCCATCACACCTGGCCAATAAAACTGATTCTGATTCTGATTTACTGAAATACTGCATGAATTTAAATTCATACTGATGTATCAGTGAAATACTTTGAAGGGCAGAAGGCTGGTATACTAAGTTTTGAGGAGTTGAGCTTTCACAGATGGGTCTTTCAACCCAGACCATTTTAAATGATGTTTTACTTGCTTCTCTCTCCTCTCCCCTCTCTCTCCCTCTCCAGCTGCTGACTCAGGGGAATGGGTGTAGTGTAGCGTGGAGATCCTCCTGCCTTTCAGTCTCTCGCAGCTCAAATCCTGTTGATCCGTTAATGGAGAGCTACAGAAATCCAAAATGCTCACGTTTTGGAACACTTGGGTTCCTGGAAGCCTGGAATTCCAGAATACGGGAATAGTGGAGATGATTTACACTCTTAATTTTGGATTAGTTAAGTTTTAAGTTTTTGTTTGTTATTAAAATTGGTTAGTAATTTTTTTTTACAACTGTGGGAGGATTTATTACCTCGGGAATTTTTTCTTCTGGACTAACGGCTGGATGACAAAAAACAATATGTCTTTTTTTGTAAACATGGAAATAAGTACAACGGACAACAAAAAGTCGCCCCGCCACTTTTTTTTTTTTTTTTTTTATTTCTTTTATTTGGGATTTATCTTTGAAAGCATATGCTTCCTGGCCAATTATTCAGACTGACTCTGATATAGACATGTATGTGTGCATG